TTTTGTACATTAAGTTCAGCTGCCTCCTGTCTCTAGAGTACCAAACCCAGGATCAATATTTCTTCCCTCTGTGGTATGAATGTCCTCAGCTCTACCACTTATCTTTCAACACTTTCTTTGTACCTCTGAAACACTTGAGGTACTGACAATTCACTCTCCCTAGCAATCTATAGCATTGGGTGAAACCCTTTTTAGAGTTTGTAGTGGTAAACTTTTCACAGATTTGCTGCCTATTCATATTTCTAGACCACAGGTATATAACTTACAGATTTTTTTACCTCCTACTTCTGACAACGGCAAATCCTCTCTAGATGGAATAACTGTCTTTGGCAGATGTGAGGCACTTGGGTTTGCAGCACTTGCAAACACAAGTGGTTGAAAGGCTGATATCATGCAAGTCAAACCTGAACTAAATAGTTATCTCTCCCATTACTCCAGCTAACTTGGTTTCTTTTAGGGTTGTTTTAATTTGTTTCCCACTGAGGACAATGGAATTAAGTATTTTTGCTCAGCCTTTCCACAGACCTGCAGTCTTGCCTGCCTCCTGGCTGAGCAGACATTCAGGACCTTCCCAGAAGATGCTACCCTTCTAAAATTTGTTTGGATGTGTCTCTTTAATTCAGCTTTCATGCTTAAGACTTGCCTAACAGATAGTGCTTTGCCCTGGAGATCAGTAGTGCTGCTGAGTTCTCCTCTTTCATGTTTTCAGGGACACAGCAAGAAGCTATCCCTCCAAATAAGCTCTGCAGTGTACCTGTGCACAGCTGACATCTATTGGCAACGATTACAGTAATTGATACCGGTGAGCAACCTGCTCTGGCAGTGACAGTTTTCATCTATTATTGCTTAACACAATCCCCCTTGTTCTTTTTTGCATGCTTCATGATACAACCCCCCTGGTTGCCTTTCTCAGCCCTGCCAAGGACAGAGCCCCTTGCTTTCAGCCTTGCATTTTGGCTTTTGAAACACTTTTCAATAGCAGCCTTTGTACTCAGGCCACTGTTGTGGTATTCATCTCATTATCCATTCTTCAAAGTACCAATGAATGAAGTAGGAAGTTGATTACAGCTGAATCCCCTTTTTCCACCGAGTGGGAAGTTCTGACTTGTGCTGCATCATGACTGCAAGTTTCATGAGCTCTTCAAGGAAGCTAGGCCAAAGGCAGGTAGTCTTTTTTCACTCATTATTTTCCCATAAAACAGGCAAGATCACTATAAAGCATCTGAGAGGTTTCTGAACAAGTGCTAGTTCATCACAGTAGCATTTATCATCTAGTTCTGCCATGCAAACAAGTATATTTTTATTTTCCTCCATCTCCTGGTCAAAAACAATTACACAAACCTGTGATGCAGTTCAATGACCTTCTGAGCTCTTTTTTCAGGGCTTCTAACTTGTACTTCCTTCTTTCTGAGATTGTGACCCCTCTAAGAAAAGAATTTAATTGGCACAAACATAAGGTATAACTAACTTCTGATCATCTTTATCCATAAATTCATTGTGCATGAAAACAGTAACAAAATCCTGTGTGGCCCATCTTTATTTTCTGTGTTAAACACCTTAATTGTCCCCTAAATCATAAATTTCTCTTATGCTGATTTTTCTAATGACACTGCCCATTTTAATCAAAAGTAAACCGCAGGCTGGGAAGATGTTTTACTTTATCTGCATTAGAGAGCAAAGGGAGGACTGCTGCCTGCGCAGGAGACCAGGAGGAGCAGAACCACAGCCCTGTCCATGCAGTGGACAGGCTCACCTTGTGGTCAGCACTCAACTTGGAAGAAGAGGTAGCTGATAGAGACAGGGTTAAACAAACCCTTCCTCCAAGGGAGGTCAGCAGCACACAAAGGCTCTGCTTTAGTTCAACACCAAATTAGGAGGTATTGAACAACTTCTTTGGGAAGGGGGGATGCACTTCTTCAGCACTTCCAGCCAAGCTGAGTCTGGGCTACCTGAGCTATGGGTTTCTTTCTGCTCTGAGGTCTTGCACCTACATTGCTAATCGTGCAACAGTGTGGTGCACTGTTTCAGTGAAATGAGGGAAATTAGTCTTCACTTTACTAAAACACTGATTTGCCTTCAGCCAGGTCAGTCTCTTGATCTGTCCCGTTACACAGTCAGACAGCGCTAATGTTGTTACCAGAAAAAGAGACAACAGGGGAAATGTGCAGCTGCAGGAGGAGAGAAAAGTGATACCACAGCATCCCAAGCTTTAATTACCTTTAATTTCTGTGGAACCACAACTTTAGTCATTCAAGTGAATTCATATTGTTCCTTACTGTTATCATATAGCAGTTTTAATAAGTTTTTTATATATTAGGTACAAGCCAGGAAAAAAAAACAAACTCGTGTCTTATGCTGTGAAAGTGTTGGAATTAAACGAGTCATGTCTGCCCGATGTTGCTGTGAGGTGGCCCACTGTTTGCAAAATCAAGACTCCTGTCATTAATGTTCAAAATCCAGCAATTACTAATGCTAAGCAGCATATTGCATTGCTATTCATTTTGATAAGACCAACTTCCACCTATGTCTTGGTTTTAAAGACAGGTGTCTGCAGAGGAAGGCAGGAGCCTCCCTTGAAATGGAAAACGCAATCCCCTTCCCTCCAAATTATTATAATTTTGAAATTAAGGGGCCTTCAGGCAAAGATATGGGGAATAGGAATAACAGTTCTTTACTTATATATATATATATATAAACACAAGGCAGGAAAAAAACCAACCCACTGGTTTACACTGACAGAGTCAGAAATACAACCTGACACCCTGTTAGGGTGGCAGTAGCAGTCCGATAAGATGCTGGCTGCAGTCCTCCTGAAGTGATGGATGTAGTTCTGTTGAAGCAGCGATCTTGTAAAAGGGTCTGGTCTTCCTCCGAAGGTCCAGTGGTAGGTAGGTAGCTCTTGCCCTCTGGAACTCCAGTGGGGGGAAAAAACCTCCTCTGGGAATCCAGTGGAAGAAGGCTGCTAGGGTGTTCGAGATCTCAGTTTTATTTAGCATGGACTGCTTGGCTCCTTCCCCCCGGGCGGAGCATCTCACAATGGGATGGTGAGTTGTGAGGCAGTTCCTTGATGGGCCATTAAGAGCAGATAGTCCAGCAGCGAGTTATCTCTGGGTCAGGCAACAAGGCATTGTTGTTCCCATTAACAGGAGATAGTCCAGAGCGGGGAGGCAGGGAACACCTCCCCACCTGGTCTCAACAGCTCCTGAAGATGGTAATAGAATACTTTTTGGGGCACATTTTACACTGTAACCTAGGACAACCTAGGGGGAAAAAAAAAAAAAAAAAAAAAAAAAAACCAACCAAACACAAACCTGTAATGAGGATAGATTTACATAGTAGACTCATACATACAGATATTTGCTGTCAGTCTCACATCAAAGAGTTGAAAGAACAGTCAGGGAGTTTTCCTGCATAGAACACTCTTTTCTGCAGTCACAAGCCCTAGCTGTTCCTTTCACATAAATTCTGCTTGAGAATTGAGAGAATTATGGGCTGATAAATAAAATCAGAAAAATAAGTGCATAACAAGAAATGGGAAAGAAAAAGTATTTTCCTGTCAAATTTCAACATTAAAGACATGAAGATTCAAGAAGGCTGGTAAGATAGCAGGAGATGAAAAAAATGCCAAACTACAGGTGAGTGAATGTTTTACAGATTCCTGAATTTCTGATGGCTGTGTGGAGCCATCAATAACTACGTAGTTTGGGCCTTTTGTATAGTATAATCTGTAGAGATTTCCCTAGTTCTTCCTGCTGCAAGCACATAATTTTTCATTGAACTAGAGCATATGTTTAGAAAGGCCTCTAGGACCGATTCAAGGGCTTCAAGTGATGCAGAACCACCTTGCCTCTGTGACTGTTGCAGTGGCTTTCCACCCTCAGGGTTGAGCATTCACGTTTTCAGACAGGATGCGATTTGCTTTAGTTTGCAAGCACTTAGGGAATAATTCTATCCCAACAGGTTTCAAAAGTTCTGAAACACATTTATACAGAAAATTGTCTTCTGATTCCTCTTTAAATGGAGCCACTTTGATGGTGAGTCACAAGCCTTTTCTCCAGCAAGCAGCAGCTCTACCTAGCACTTGAGCTAGATAGGAAACAGCCAGAGCTGCCAGAAGTAAGCGAAAGGAGAATTTAGGGAACTAGAATGAGCATAAGAAGCCAGTGAGTTTCATAGTGCTAATGTAACACTCGTAATCCTACAGAAAGCGCCTTGGACACAGAAATTAACAGCTCTGGTCAGGACCTTAATCTAAAAGATAATACAACGCCAGCTGCTGGCTGAGCTATAACAACACATGACAATTTTAACCTTTTGACTTTTCTAGTACCCTCGCTGCATCCTGCAGTGAGGACCTTTTACTGAAATCCTCCCTTGCAAGTTGTCAGCCTGGGGTGGCATCTTTGGCATGACAGCCTCATATCTGATAGCCTAGTTCAGAGCAGCACAGTGACACAATTAATGAAGGTGTAATCTTCAATAGTATTTATCCAGTAATTGTACCTTTTGTACATGTCTTTGATGGGAGTGACTAATAAGGTCAAGTCACGGACTTAGTTATCCAATCATGACTTTCAGGTGTGACTTCACAGCATGTAATTCATCTGAAGAGGCTGTTCTACTGCTGTGATCATGGATGCAGCTGAACCTCCATTACACTAATAGTAATGTATGCTACTACAAGATCTGTCTTTTAATGTCTCATAAGAAGAATATCTCTCTCACTTGAAAAGCAAGAATTGGGTGGGAAAAAGAAAAAAAATACAGATAAACAAGGATCAATGTGTCTTTTCCTGTATTTTATGTTTTTCATTTGTGCAAACAATCCAGAAAAAGCCAATGCCTCAGAACTAAGTTTATTTTAAGAGCTCTCCAAATATTAAATCAGTAATTGGTTTGAAAGAAGGTTACAAATAAAATTGAGCTGTCATTTGTAGCTTACTCAGGCCCTGCTCTTTGAATTCTTTTCCAAGAATGCTGCATCCATTCTGTTTTTTCCTTCAGTGTCCATCTTGCAAGCACTCTCTCTTGGAAGCAGGCAGATAGAAATGATGACCACCATCATTAACTCCCTCAAAGATGTAACCAGGTGGGTCTTTGTAAGAGGCCAAACACCTAACAATGCCCTTTGGTGTGTAGCTGGTAGCATAGATCGTTTTAGCATCTAGCAAAGTGTGATGCTTCGGGCCTGACCAGCCAGTTTTATAGCTCTTCATAACTGGGAGTGGATGAGGCACATAATGATTCTGAAAGGTAGTCAAGAAATCCATCGGTTTTGCTGGCGAAGTCAGCTCTGGAGCACAAGTGATAGGCTTTAGTCTCTTGCACAGCCAAGGCTTATAGTCTTCTTTCATTATAGAGGAGCTATTTAATGGCTCAGTACTTCTTTGAAGCTGGGCCAAAGATTGGCACATCTTCACCGGCCTGCCGTTTGGGTGCTTGTAATGTATCTGAGTAGTGGTGCAAAGGTCCATTTTCTCCAGAGGAGGAAGATACACATCAGGTTTTTTGGTGAATATGGGAGTCCGTGGCCAAGCTTGGTAATTTTCCTGAAACTCCGTTGTAGAGGAAAATGGAAGATCATGGAGAAACTTTGGCTGGTATGGTTTTACAAGCTTGGCTGGATGACCAGCAAGCCCCTTGTAAGAAATTTTGTCCGTAGCGAGTCTCTCAAATGGGACCTCATTGACCTTGCATTTCTCATTTTTATGGACATAATGTTTCTCCAGAGGATGTGGCACACAATTCACTCTATAATTGGTTATATTCTCAAAGGGATCCTTGGTTTTCTGGACCAGAATCAGAGGTTTGCAGCTTTGAGTGGCCACAGGCCCCCTGTAGAGGTAGTCATCCTGAACGATGGTTCTATGGTCAAATTTTTCTTCTGATGGGTGAAACCTGCTGTTTGGTCTGATCAGCTCTGTCTTTGGTCGCTTCCATAGCGCATAGTCATCTGAAACATAAGATGAATCCTATCTAAGTGCTCAACAGAAGTTCTTTGGTGAGTTTAGGCATATAACATAATATGTTTTGATTATTATATTTTGTACTGTAATAAATATTTGTTGATGTTGAAATGATTGATAAACAGTATTGAAAGAGTTGCTATAGAACACATTATACACTAGTGTGCTAACCCCTGGAAATGCTTAGCATTTACACAGAAAATGGAATTAAAATTGTCCTGTACCCACCCATACCTACAGAGATAGTTGTCAAATACAAGGTGGGAAGATTAAATTACATTACAGTCTTGCAGAGACATTTTCTACAAGTGACTGAGTGTGTACTGTCCTCTTGCTTAGTCAACCAGAAATCATGAAAGTGGAGTATGACGGCATGACTTTGACCCCCTTCATTTATTTTCCTGCAGCTATGTGGTGGCTTGCTCAGAGCACAGAAGAGTATGCCCGTGTCTGCAGATGGCTGTTCAGGTGTCTCCCACAGTATCTCTGGGGCAAGGAGAACCAGATGCCCACCATTCCACTCTAAAGGTCAAGTTGCAGAGCTACCCTTCCTCTCTGTACCTTCTCATTTGGGGATGATCTGATTTCTCAGCTGCACAGATGTGATGCTGCTTACTGTTTGCTGAATTTGGGTTTTGCAGCTCATTGTGATGTCAGCAAGATATGCTGTGTGGCATATCCTCAGCTCTTGGTTTTGCCCTCTGTGGCACCCCCACTGTCTGTACATGCAGGAACCAAGATGGAGCTTGTAACTCTGTCTCCAATTTTTCCTTATCAGAAAAAATGTGCTGGAATTTACAGATCAAGCTCACACTGATGTGAAGCACTGAATCATATCGCAGAGATGATCTATACTTCAGAAAACTTGCTATCCAAATTCATGACTAAGAAAACATTTCAGGAGGTATTTTAGAGACATTCACATCTTCCTTCCTCAGCAGGATAACTGGGAAGAAAATTAGGCAGTGAGACTTAAAAAGATTTGAACTCATTCCCACTAGAAGTCTATTGTAAAGTTGCCTAAGTCTCCGACCAGTGCTGCAGCCACAAGATCATAAATTTTCCCCTTCCTAGTAATCTTGTGCAACTTCCTCTAGAGAGTATTATGGTTACTGGTAGGAAGTTGAAATGAAATAGTCTTGGAGCTAAACCAAGTCATTTTTGGTTAGGTTTTTTTTTTAATTTTCCCTCCTTTCAAACCACATTGAAAGTCATGGGGCAAACAAGCTTCCAGCTGACTCCGCACAGGAAGGAAGTCTAGATTTCAAAGTACTAGAGAGTAAATGATGCAATTAGGTATCAGGATATTTGAACTCTCCTATCCAAACAGAGTTGTTCCTTTTGAATTGCAGTGGCTATTGTACTGCACAAACACAATTACACAAAGGATGTGTTCATTACAATGTGAAGTTGACCAACAAAAAAGTAACATTTTGCCCCAATTAGGTGTCCATTTAAAGTTCTTGTAGTTCAAGTCAAGTTGCTCTGCCTTGGCACAAGAGAGGAAGCAGCAGCCACAGGCACTGTGCTGCTCCCAGCAAGCACCCTAACCCTTGGGTACAGGGATGGCCTCATGCTGCTAATTAGCGTGGTCAGCTGAGAACAGGGGCCTGTCTGTGTGCACCGGCATAGACATACATTTGCCACTGTTGGTGCCACTGAAGCCCAGGCTGTGTGCCCTGCTAGTGCCAGGGGTGTTTAAATGTCCCAGGTGCTCCTGTTCCTCTGGCGGAGTAGATGTCCAGGCACCAACACGCTTGTGTGATGCTGACCTTGTCACTGTGCCTAGGGTACATCATTTTCCTGGAAACATGGTCCAGCAGGGTGAACCATGAACTTATACAGACATGTGTCATTACAGGGGATGTATTAAAAAAGTGTTAAGAAGTGAGAAGCTAATGAAAGTCAGCCCATCTCTAAGCAAGGGGTCGGTCAGAGATCTGCCATTTCAGATGCCAACCAAGAGTCACCAAAAAACTTTTTAGGTTCTCCCATCACCTTTGCTGGAATTAGTCTGTGCATTTTGGACATTACAACAGCTTTTACAAAATATCCAAAATATGACAAGCAAGTCCATCTGTCTTCAATTTTAAAAATTTACAAGCTCTACACATTTGGAGATCTCATAGGCACTATGAATTTATTTTACCTAGCGTAAGCCAGCAGTGCTACTATTCTTTCAAAATATTTTACAATTTTATTGTAACTCTGATTTTTCTCGCATAGATATTAATGGTTTCCCATGCAGCACAATCTTGAAAACATTAGGGGGTACAGGAGGGAACAGAGGATACGAACCATATGTTATCAGAGAGTTAGGAACATCTCACTATAACAAAGCAAGACAAAAATAAATTAGATTACGTACCTGCAGAAGGATAGAAACAGCTATATATGTAGCAGATGAGAATTTTTAAACCTTAAGTTGCAAAGTCATCTGACATTAATTGTGATATGCAATAGCATCACCTTAAACCTACAGTGTCATTTGGGATATGGTATTTAGTGGCAAGGAGTACAATACAGAAGGAAAGATAATTTAATACCAATGCAGCATATTTTATATGCTGCTTAAATACTGAATTACGGTAAATAATTGAATAGCATGTTCCACATTTTCACACTTGAGTAGTGATTAGTAAAACCTAGCAATGCTTAGAGAACAGCACAATGAAAACTTGTGGATTTTGTGAACCTGGGCCTTTAAAAGGGAATTCATTGCAACTTGATCTTTGAGGGGGTTTGGACGAAAATTTCCATTTGCAGTATTTTGAAAAATACTGCAAATTATAACCAAATGTGGCTGCGATACATTTTATTAGAGCTCTGGAGTAACAGTTAAGGTGCTGACATAATCACTGATAAAAGACAAAGATACACATCTGGTTCAGATACAGAGAAATTAAGTATATCTAAACAGAGAAGGAATGATCCTTTGCTTGCGCAAAGCAGCCTTTTTTTTATTTGCTTCACTGAAACTATTGCAATGAATACCATCTGGTGACATTGCCTGTGCAAAACAAAGTGTTCAAAATTGTGTAAACGTGGATATTTTGCACCTGTGGGTCATAGTCTTCATGACTCAGGTCACTCTAAATGGACAGTATTTCCTGTATGCTTAATGTAAAAATTCCAGTTTATGCTGTTGCAAACATGCAGCTGCACTAATGGCTAACTTTTGGTCATTTCAGCTGGGTAATCTTAACACTGCATCACATACCTTTTATTTCTTTATTGCCATTATCATTTTGAGTTTTAAGAAGAAGATTGTTTCTGTACATTCGGAAAAAATCTCAATGCCAGCACCAATCATAAGTTTTTATATTTGCACAGCATAATAAAAATTAAAATAAAATAAAATAATTTTAAGAAATACACAAATGCTAACTGCCTAGCAATGTTAGCTAGCTGGAAGGTGTGCAGTGAGGAGGCAAAATCCTCTGATTTTCTACTTATGACTTACTACCAAAACCAGCTGTAACTGTGTAACTGAAAGTGTTCTCCCAGTGCACGCAGAAGAGAATTCATGCAGGGAGAGAAACGAACAAAGCACCCACAAAGACAAACAACCTACACCAAGTTACTGCTACTGAGAAACAAGGGCATAGTTAGATGCACAGTTCACCTGTTTTACCAGGAGTAGAGCTTGAGTGTTTTGAACTTTTGTGTGAAATTCTGTGTGTCCGTAATTCCCATATACACCTTTTGCACGTTCACAGATTAACTCTGCAGCACACAAAAAGGGAACCATGCTTCATGACCTGCTCAGGAAGCAAATTCTACATATTTAAATGTGTGTGATCCACCGAATGAGTGGACCAGCCCTGACATATACCAAGAGCGTGTTCAGTATATCCTAATGATGATGCTGCTGAAGCCACTTGCAGGAGTTCACACAGTCCTGCTTCTACCTAGGATACCTGTAGGCCTGTCAGACATGCAAAAGATGTGACTTCAGAGAGATTCCAATAATACCATTATTGCAGGGATGTATTCCAAACGATTTACGTCTGTGTGGTTCCTGCACAGCTTGTGGGTATCCATAGACAGAAGGAACAACAACTGCACACTTGATCTGTCTTCTTCAAAAATGAAGTTACTGGTGAAATTTTGAAAGAAGCTGCAAGGGCACATACCTTTGTAAGTGGTTCTTATATCCAACTTGGTGCTGAGCATGTGTCTTGTCACACAAGGGAGGCATGGAGGTACTTGAGAGATAGGGTAAGAGTTGTAAACTTGTTTATAAGTGGAGGTCATATCCATACTCTCATTACCCTTTACTTGCTTTCCAGGTGGTTTAAGTTTCTGTGGCAACACTTCATGCGTTCTGTAATCTTTCCTGTGAAGAATAATTTCGCTATGTCTTTTGTCTTAAGAAAAAAATTATGTTCCTTTTTCTGGACACAAAAAGATATTAATACTTCTCCTTATCTCCACCTAAGAAAGTCTGGGTAGAATGCAAGTAGTTAATGAAACACAAAAGCCTCTCACATTTGGAAATCTGGACTTTGAAAAAGGAACTGAAGCAGCTCTGGACAACCTCCAGCAGGCCACGTTTCCCCTTCTCTCCACCTAGTGAGGTTAATGACCTTACACAAAGCTATCTCTGTTCCACAGTGGAGCTACAGCAGAAGATACAACTCCTTTTAAAAGCCCAATAATTACAGCAGGCTATCTAGTATGTATGGGAAACACATAAAAGAGGCAACAATAACCTTCCCAGACAATACACTGTACGGCAGTTCAGCCCAGGATGGAGAGATAACAACAAAACAGTTTTACAGCAAAACACCAGTTGAGGAAAGATACATCAGCATGTTCAGACAGTCAGCTTTTTCTCAGGTACCACTGTAAAAGAGCTATTTTAAGATACTGCAGTAGCGTTACGTAACTCCAACAAAACATTACAGTAACAAGATGGAGAAGAAACTAAAGTCACCATCCGGCATTCACTAACTCAAACCTATTTCACTGCCCATATCCTTTGGTAATGGGCAGAAAGTCTGCTGCCTGGCACCCGCAAATTCAGTCTCTAAAGTCAGAGTACTTTTCCACTGGTGTGCAGATCTGTTTACACCTTTGGCAGCTGGCTGGGAGAAACAGTCAGTACCAGAGGCAAGTAACAGACCATAGGCAGGCAATTCTTCACCAGTGTGATCAAGGGTTTTCTGGCAGTGGGAGTACCTTTTCACCCTCTGACTACTGTGATATGACAGAACTTGCACTGGAGAATACAGAGGAGAGATTAATCTGCTGATAAATCAGTGTCAACCTGCATCCAAAATGCCATGAAAGATGGTACTGCCTGCAACTCCCAGGCTTGCTGTTGCAATATGACACCTAACACTCAGCAGAGAGCTATTAGAGAAGACTTCTGACAACTCAGTGTTTGTTGGCCTCACAGTCCCTGCAGTTATTCTCATATGCACCGTCAACTCATTGTCACTGAGTTTAGCCATGCAGAACCAGAGATTTTAGCTCTCTAATAGGTGGTGGCACTTTTCCACTAGGCTTTGGTACACTGGTACACCCACTAGGCTGGGTGTATTTTCTTACCAGTGCTCCCCAGAGGACAGCAAGACTTGCAGTCTGATGACTAACTGCTTCAGGGTCTGTTTTCTTCTCTCACAAGTGCAGGCAAGTTTTACATATTTGATAGAGTGCATGCGCTGAAGAAACAAATAGAAGTAGTTTCTGCGCTTTCCTATTAGTCTGGTTTTCAGAAGTCATACTAAACTCCAGGAGTAATAGTTACTATGGGAATCACTAGCCTTGTCTGAGCAAGAATAGTTTTGCTGATTGAACAGAAAGTTTCTAAGGACTCCTTGACAGATTCCACATTGCGGCTGCCCCTCCTTGCTTGCCTTAAGAGGACACCAATGAGCCCAGGATTTAGTTATATGCAGACACAAACATGTCTAGCTGCTTCAGCTCATGCTGGAGATGCAAGTCATATATGGAAGCAAAGTCTGCTCTTTGAAACTCTCTGATCCTTTCAGTTGTTGCTGAAAACTCCCACGTAGATAAAGTCATTCCAGATGTAAGTTGGGCAGTTCAGACTTTGTCAGCCACATTTGTGATTTAAATTAAAAAGGCATAGGTGGTGGAAGGAGTCGGTAGAGTTTCTATGTCGGAATGAGGACAAATGGGTGGCATTATCTGTTAAGACTTTATTAATAGCCATTGGCATCTCCTAAGTCCCTAATTCAGTTCAGCAAAGGCAAGAGTGATGTTGTTCATAACTATATTCGTGATGATAAAAGAAGTAAACATACAGATCAGGCAGCAGGTGCTGTTTGAGGAAAGGCAAGCTCTCAGATTCATACTAAAGGATCAGATTCATATTTTTTAAGCTTCATCTATGAACGAGCATTTAACACACCACTCTACCAGCAGCAGGAAAGAGCCTCAGAAGTTATTTCCACCAGGGAAATGGGCACAGTGCAAGTGTGACGACTTCTGCCAAACACCAACATCGAGCAACAACATAGCTGAGAAGCAGAAACAGCCCAGAAATCCACAGTGACTGCCTTGAGGAAAACATCCACACCCCCTTTCCAATCACCAAGCCCTACTGTATTCACACCTCCTTGGAAACCCGTCACTCACGTCACAGTGTACAAAGTGCCACACAAAACACAGAACAAAAGAAAAAAACACCTCCAGTATCATCCATACTTTCCCAGACAACATTTCTGCTGGTTTCCCCTAAACCTTCCCAAAACCAGAAAGTTAGCAAGTATCAAAATCACGACTGTGCTTCTATGGCCCATGTGTTCTTTGATCAGTACACACCTCAGCCTCCAGGAAGGGCAAGAAAAACAGCATCTTGCCTCCATTACAACTGGCCTAAGACAGACTTTCACCCCTCCTTCATAGAGCCCTCATGAATGTTGGTACAATTGCAACATTGTTCTTTTCAGGTTCCCCTTGTGAAAACAAATAATTTTTCTTTTCTCTGTTACCTATCTCTCACACACATACTTTATCTAAGTCACAGTCCTCACTCTCTTTCACTGTTTTTCATACTTTGTAGTCGAGATGCCTTCCATGGGTATCTGCACCATCTTGTACGCTTCCTTTGGCTTAAATGAGCCTCTGAGAACAATGATGGGATGAAGGGGGTATCGCTCCATGTATTCTGACAGCATGCATGACTTCTCATTCTTCTCATAGGGCCTGGTGGGCAGGTGTGGACAACGGTGACATCTGCAAGAGAAAAAAAACAGCGCAGAAGTTAGTGACTCACAGGTAGCTGATTAATAATAACTCGTTGTGTAATTTGGCTGCAGACTGCAACTATAAAATAGTGGACAAGTAAGCGTTACAATGACTGCTACAGCCTTGGTTATCTAAAGTGCAAAAGCATAACCTGTACAAAGAAAGGGTTGTTTCTGTCTACTACTACAGCCTGCAGTCAAAAAAGTCCATGAAGCCAACAAAAGCAGCCTAAGAAAAGCAAGTTCACCTAGTTGAAGAAAAGAGCAAGTTAATCTGAAATACAGCCAAGTATTGTGCTGGAATAGAAACCCTATTTAATGTCCCTTTTGTTCCATTTCTCAGAAATTTATTATCCTACTATGCCCACGTATTGAGCTCACTTGGGTAGACAAGTGAGCAAAAAGGTAACAGTTCAGGAGTCTCTATTCACTCACACTTGGGCAGCACTGCTCTGCCCATCTCTCTTTCGGAAAGCAATTTGGTCTGGGTACAGCAAGACCTCTCCATAATGTGCACCAAAACAAGGACAGTGAGAACAAACTGATTTTCTGAGGAAGCTCCCTCCTAACTGAAACTAAAATGCCACCATGGATTGTCCATCATTGGTGACCTCCTTCTTTCCACACTGGGACCAGGAAAGAGCAGGGTGGGCAAGACTCATCCTGTCAAAAAGATGTTTGGGATCCCACCTCAGATTTCTTCCCAGAAAGGTAACAATTTGCTTGCCTTTCTGGGTTGAGTCAAATCCACCAGAGTCAATGCGCAGGCTGCTGATTAAGGACTCCAGGAAACAACCCACGGGAATTATTACAGTGAGAGGCATAGGCCTCTGGTTTTATTTGTCATACATCATTCCTGCCAAAGTCAGAGTGCTCCCTACTGGATGTATGTTTTCCAGTGCTACATCTAGTCCAGACATGAATTAGTCGTTTGAAAGGGCTTCTATACTTAAAGCCCGTCTTAAATAAAATGTTGAGCAATCTAGGATCTGTAGATGTCTGATTACCTAAATTTATACAGACCACCTCTGGTCTACATTCAAGGGTACACCTTCATATACTGAATCATTTTCCAAACTAGCACAAGAGGGGAAGAAGGGCCTAGAGGGCTCAAATTAAAATTCAGCATCTTTTTAACAAGCTAATTTCTCACTTGGATTACAAATTCTTCTGTGAAATCATATATCAGGAGGAGTCCTGGTAGATTCATTTTTGCCTTAGAGAAGTTTTGAGTTTGGACCAAACGGAGTCCTTACAGCGAGTAAGGGAGACTATCCCTGTCAGTTAAAATATTAGAAGAAAAGACTTCAGGGTGGAAATCTGGGGGAAAAAAAAAAAAAAAAAAAGATACCTCACTCTCTTTGGAACCTTATAAAAGTCCAGCTTTCACATAAGTGGAGGAGAGGCAAACAGGAAAATGAAAAAAAAAGATGAATATGCTCACTTTTGCTGGCCCATGTGACCTTGCTGGAATGGATTTAATGACAAAAACCTTCCAAACACAGGCTGCACTGACACTTTCTGGCCACATTTGTGGTCTTTCAGATTCCTAGGAATTTTTCCACATTTTCCAAGGGAAAATCACCTGCCTATTCTTTCTGCTTCAAATCTCCTGGCTTCACATCACCCTTAAGTGCACTTTCATCCCTCTACTCAAAGTCTATGATGCAGCAAGCCAGTCTTCAGTTTGGTTTTGGAGTGTGTTGATGAGGCCCTTGTGTTAGCTTTTTATGGTAAAACTGCATTCAGACTAGAGTGGGAGAAATAGCTGTACTACCTAGGATCATGGCCCTGCATATAGTGCAGACACTGGCCAGCAGTAGCATTTTGAAATAAGGAGTGGCTGATCAGGAGTAAATTAATGACATTTCACTAACACCATCAGTTAATATCTCATTACAGCTCAGCTGCACACACAGGGTTTGGAGGGGCTTACTTGTGATGCCATGTTTCTCAAGTGGTCCAGAGCAGAGGCTTTGTGTAGCTCCCTTGCCATACCAGACAGGTTCTCTGCAGCAGACATATTATCCCACATCCCGATAGACATTTGTGAGACAGAGTCCTGCACCTGCCCAGTAGCACTGTTGGCACTGAGAAGGTGAGGGGTCCTGCAGACCAGCAGGACAAGTGTGGGTACCTCTCTTAACACCCCGCAGGAACAGGCAGGGAACAACAGCTTGCGGAACCTATGTTTTTCCCCTTGCAGACATTGCTGACAGCATGAATGCTGGGGGACTTCTCAACAGCCCAGGATAGGAAAAAGGCCAGGGTGTCCTGCAGACAGCAGCAGCCCTAGGCTGCCAAGCTCTTTACCCTAGGATGAAGTTAAACCTTTAGTGTGATCTGGCAACACAGGTGGCTTTACACCTCAGGTATTCACACTTCTTCATGTGTGCAATCCTGCTTTCTTTGTTGAACTTCAGAGCACACAACAACAACAGAATGAGATACCTCAGAGTTAGCTGTTGAGAAACAGTCCCACAAATAAATCCTTCCGACAGGCCAGAGAAGTAAACCTGAATATTTTGTCTTCTATTATTTTGCACTAAATTGTGATGTATGTCCACAGATTTTACAGTAACACTCACTGTATTACAGACTATGAGCAGAAAATTACCAGTGATAATTCACTACCAATATATGACGCTATAAAATCTTTGCTTCTGCATCCAGAGAATTATTCCTGAAAATATTTTTTACTGGAGACTAATGTAAATAACAGAGTAAGACTCTTAACAACCAGGAGTAGAACAATGCTAGACTTCAAGGTTTGCTACACTTTACTACTCCTTCTGGCATGATAAATATTTATAAGACAATTACATGATTCTTCAGTACTGAAGTCACTGTTGTGTGATTGCAGCAAGTCAGTACATTAATGTCAGAGCTAAACAGTTAAAATTACTATATAAACGTTCTGATATTGCAGCTGTCAAACTGTAACCTATCTTCCAAAAACTGATGAGATCTAAATTTTGACATTTATTATGCTTGCCTGCTTAGATATTTGGATTTTTTTGGCTAATTCCACTCTGATTTTCACTTGTGCAAATTTTGCTTTACCTGATTGAAGTCTATCACGTTAGCCTGGACAATATTAGTAATGAAATGTAACAATAAGGAAGCACACATGATTTTGTTTACTAAAAATTATGGAAGAATAGCAGACTCATAGAGAGTAAAAAGAGTGCAGTTGCCCTGCCTTCAAACCAGTTGGGTTCATCTAAACAGAAGCTGAGATGAAACAAGTGAAAAATGTATCAGCTTACATTAAATACTTGTTTAAACCAAGAAGAAAAACGTGGAACCATTTCTCAGGACCAGAATTCAGGATGTTTGAATTCAATTTCAGCATTCAGCACAGTCTCCCTGACCAGCGCAGCTCTTTGCCAACTAAAGATAAAATATAGCATTCTCCAGAGGAGAAAGAGGAGGAATCCTGTAAGATTTATGAATTTCTCAAGATAAGCCTCTCAGACTCACCTGATTTTTTTAAAAATCTGTGATTAATAATAAAAGATTATCACAGTGGGCTTAAAATGCAGGTGGAATAGTAAGAAAGTTGTACGATTAAAACCCTAATTCATCCCAGTTATGTGGCTCACTACTGGTAATTACTGTCCACAGAGGTCATGGATGCCATGGTGTTACTGCTTGAGAGAAAAAACATGAGGCTCAGAAATGGCTGAACTCTCATTCAGGAGAACTTAATCTTCCCTTGGAAAAAAGACTGCTCCTCAGAAAAGTCTTCACAGGGAAAAGCAACACCTACCTAACCGCCTAATCTATTTCTTGTACCATCTCTAATTCCATGAGTCATCTGATCATGTCAGTATTGTAGAAACCTCTAGTTTAGATGGAATGATGATGCTGTCCAAAGAAAGACAGCGGTGTAAAAATGTGCCAAAGAACTAGGGCAGACTCTAATAGCAGGAGCTGATTTCCAAGAGTCAGGCTGCAAAGCAAATCACTGAAGGTGAGTCTTGTGTAAATCTCTTCTCTTTCAAGCAATGGAGATGCAATCAGAGGCCCAACTATACCTCTTTGAGTTACAAAAGGATGGATGACAGATTAGATGTTTGTGAAGGGGAGTATCCGTATGCAAAGTATCAAAGTATATCACATATAAATATTGAGTATGGTAATAATATCAGGAAAATGAAAGATTAATACTGAACCATTTAAAACAGAAAGTATAGCAAGTAGAAAGGAAGTCTTAAAGATCCTGACTATCATTATCACAAGCAACAACTGTGCAAAACCAGGCAATCATGCAGATTAAGTAACACTTTTATGTTGTCAGAGTTCACTCATCCTAGCTAAATGCAGCAAACAATCAACAAACTGATGCTGAAACTCAGTTTTGGGGTCCCAGGTGCAGTCATGGCAAAAGCACACACTAAACATTTGTGGCTGCATTGCTTTTGGCACCTGACCCAAGACATTAGCAAAAGGAAGCTCCAAACAGTCCAATAACTTCAGGAAATTATTTGTGGAAACAGTATCCTTTGAAATTGGAACACACTCTTGACAAGAAACAGGTAGATACCTATGTCCAGGGATACCACATTTCAGTGGTAACGGGTTTATATTTCACAAAATGAATACAGTGATTTATCTGTGCCCTCCAACTGAGAACAAAGTTTCATACCACTCTCCTCCAAGAGAGCAGTCAAAGTGTAATTAGACCTGTCATGAAGTACTATAATGCCATCCTTGCTGCAAGCCTAAAAGCTCTCAGATTTCAGCACATTAACACAATCACTGCAGATCCTTGTCCTTGTGCATGCATACCCACTGCACCTAAACAGCAATGATGGAGGAAATATCAATTTCTTTTACATCTTACTTTATACAGCACTACCACAGATCAAGCAGAGGTGCACACTTGATATTTATCTGAGAAGGTATAGATAGAAAAGTATTTCAGGTAAGTAAAAAAATAAGATATTTACGTATCAGTCCTCAGAGAATTCATCTGTAAATCAC